CTCACGGGGTGTCGGCTTTGTGAGAGAGATGAGAGTTGCAGTTTGCGTCGATAAATGGTGGTTTGTCTTGGGAAAAGTTATTCGGCTTTTGTCTCAATTTTATATGTTTGTATACGAATTTTATATGTTTGTAAACATATTTGTAATTGTGCTTGATACCCGTGTTGTCCCTGGGGCGCGGCGATGGAGGCCACGTACGCTGCGTGCGTGTACCACCCTAAGCTGGCGTTTACATGCCAACTTTTGTGTTGGCGAATTGGGCAAGTTTCCAACGCTCTATCAACCGTTCAATGACTGGCAGGCGTTTACATGCACTGAGACTGCGAGTGGCCAACTCGATCGACGCCGCGAGCGTATGCGTGGGGCGGTGGATATAGGCATAATATAAATTTGCGAGGTACGGCACGTACAGGCGCAAAGAATCGTCATAGTCACAGAGTAAGGATGCCACGAGGCCGGCTGGATTACCGGAGAGGCGGTGCATTGGGATTTTCCATGCTTCGTGCTGGCCGACCTCTTCCTTATGTGCACGTGCGCGTGTACTGTGCGCGCACGCGTGTACCGTCCAACGTGTTACATCAGCGCGTGTACGTGAGGTATCTGCGCTACACAGATGTGACAGACGCACGCGTGGCAGTTCACAGCATACACGCATGCGTGCACGTACACACGTGCGCCGCCACGTACACGCGTGTGCGCACGTTCAATTCGCTTATGCGGGCATACACGCATACAACAATACATGCAATGCGCGCGTATGTGTGTGTGTTGTGTTTTGTGTGTGTGTGTGCGTCGTTGCGGTCGTGTGCGTGTGGTGGTGCGTGTGGCGTGTGGTGTGCGTGGTGGTGTGCCGTGTGGCGTAGTGGTGTGTTCGTGTGGCGGTGTGCTTGCGTGCGTGCGTGCGTGTGTGTGTGCGTGTGCGGTGTGCGTGTGGTGTGCGTGTGCGTGTGCGTGTGCTGTGTGCGTGTTGCGTTGCTGTGTGCGTGTGCGTGTGCGTGTGCGTAGTGCGGTGCGTCGTGCGTGTGGTGTGCGTGGTTTTGGCGCTGTACGTGCTACGTGTGCGTGTGGCTTCCTATAGCGTGTGCCGTGTGACTGTGTGCGTGTGCTGTGTGCGTCTGTGCGTGCTCGTGGGCGTGCGTGCGTGCGTTGTTGCGCGTGCGTGTGCGTGTGCGTGTGTCGTGTGCGTGTGTGCGTGCGGTGCGTGTGACGTGTGCGCAATTCTGTGCCGTGCTGCGTGTGCGTGTGCGTTGTTGCAGTGTGCGTGTGCGTGTGACGTGTGTGCGTGTTGCGTGTGCGTGTGCGTGTGCGTCGTGCGTGTGCGTGTGCGTGTGCGTGTGCGTGTGGCGTGTACGGGGTTGTGTATGTGGGTGAAGTTCAGTGGTGCAAGGACAATTTTAAAAGCAAAGGGCGAAACAAACTCATTGATTTCCTATATTTGCACACATTATCTCCTGTATATTATGTATTGTGTACTATATACTGAGTACCTGTGAACCCATGGACCCGTGTGCTTTGGGAGAGGAAATAATGGACTGGATGGAACCTTTTTTTATGGATATGTTCCTGCAGTATCTGCCTTGATGCTTCATCCTGGCAATACAGCAGGGCTATTATTTGCCCATGCATTATCTCAGCTCTTGGAGTCATGGAAGAGACCTTTAGACTAATACATAAGAAACGCCTAACATGCGTTTACAACTAGTGCTCGTGGTAGCATTTGCTATACTATTGGTATATTTTCAACGTCCTTCATTTAGTTGTCATTGACTTCTAACTATTTTGATTTACGAGATAATTATATTAGTTTGTCACAGGACATTGCTCATTGAATCAATTGAGGCGAAGCATACCAATAAAAGCTCTATGTGGCAAGGAAGTCGCAGCAGGCTCATACTAATTAACATAAGAACTTAAGAACACAAACACTTAATAAAATAACATAGAAACACCCTTCACGATCATTTACAGGCGTAGTTAGACGTCATGCGAGTGATGGTTTAATATCGGCACTAGGTCAAAATATCAGCTTGAGAAAACTTGTTCACTAACCTCTATCGATAGCCAGGTGGCATTAACAGATCTTACACGTGGCTAGGAGGTTTGGTTTATCACTATGACGAAGTGCACAGAAAGAGAGCGAACTTTGTAATCGGCCTGAATATCATACGTATACACTATATATATACTAGACACTGTTTTAGGTCGGTGCATTACCCGAACCGACTCATTGAGTTAGTCAGCTTCGAATCGAGGTAACCAAAAAGGATAGGTTCCTTTAGAAATGTTTTTCCAACTAGTGTTTCGTACTGGAGCTGCATACGTAATTCTTCAATGTTTGTTATTCGCCACTCACGACTGAGCCTTTGCCAATATGCACAAGCAGGTAAGAAAACTATCAGAAACATCATAAGCCAGAGTATATTGACCCAACGTTTTAGACTTTAGCGTGATTGATCCTATTTCGTTCAACCTTATTTAGTTGTGCAGAACGCCACCAGATTGTGTTTTGCATAATTGACAACAGCCGAATTTGCGTGCATTTTGTTTCATTGCACGTGTTGCATCATCTCCGCAGACATGATAATGTCGCGTCGCCAGATCATATTAGGGATAATCGAAGCTACAGACGCGATGTCCGTGCCTTGCATTTGGAATTCCACATTGTATTGCCAGACGACCCTGTTCTGGATCGCCGCCCACCTTCACGTCGGAAGCTGAAGGGACTGCCTGCCTTCACTCTCATGTCTGCATGGCACCTTCTCTATGTATGGGCGTCACTGTAACCGGAACAAATATTGCAGTTTTTGTAAACTATGAAAAGGCAATGAATACTTTATTAGGGTAAGCCTGCATTCCAACTTTATTTCAAGCTAGTTGCCCTATTTTCTCAACCTTTCATGCCATAAAATTCATCGTTTAACAGATGTAGTGAGGTACACAGTTGCTCGGATTATTAAACATTCAATTCGCATTACACATGAAAAGTGTCTGCACAAATGCGCAATACAGCCAAGATGCCTAACAACATCTGATCTCAATGTCTTCGTCAGATGAGATAACCGTCACGCAGTTAGCGTAAGTGGGCCGTGATGGTTGTGTTCGGCGACAGTAAGGAAAAAGCATTAAGGCAAGGCTTTCAATCGCTTCTGCGGCTGCGTTTAAGTCTACTCTGTGATGGCGAGTGATAGGCCATTTCGTTGCAGAGGCAACTGTTTCGACTCTTACCCGAAACGTTCTTTGCCGTGCATGCTCTGCGATGTAGGCCTCACTTGATCAAATCAAAGATCATGTAACGTATGGCTGACCAATGGTCCGGCACTTTGCTTTTATCTGCTGATTACTTATCTTATGAACTCTGTACTAGCTTCTGTGTGCCGCTTCTTTACATGATCCTACTTTGATATTACTTTAACTTGCAATAATAAACGCATACCTTGACTCGTCTATGCTTCGATTGTATACTCTGCTAAACTTAACCTACGTTTTCAAATTTGACTCTAAGCTCCTATTCAAGCATTGCACACTGAGGACCTTTTCTTTCACTTGCTCGGATCGTATATACGCTCGATAGTCGATCTGAAAGCACCGCCGTCAGATTCAGGTGCCTTTCCCACGTCAGCATTGCCTTTCTGCTGGACCAATCTTTCTATTTCCGGCTTTTCCTGGGCGCCTGGCTCGTCTTGCAAAACATATACGATGTTATATATTTTACGACATTTATCGTACTCGGTTTTATTTCGAAAAACACACACGCGCTGCGGCACGCACACATGCACAAAACACACGTGTATATGATAATTATTTATATATACTATTAGTTATAATTATATATATGCTAGTTTTATTATTTTATATGATAATGTAAGAATCCTTACGGTACAGTCGGTAGACGTAGAGTAGGCAGGTGTAGAGGGGAAGGCATAGAGTAGGTAGCAGTAGGGGGGAGCAGGCGTAGAGTTGGTAGGTGTAGAGGGGTAGACGTAGTGTAGGCAGGTGTAAGGGGCAGGCGTAGATCGTAGGTAAGCATGGGTAGGGTGGGTAGGTGTATCCGGACAGAGATAGGAGTAAGCAGGCGTATGTGGGCAGACATAGAAGTAGTAACGTCATGAAACTAGAGAAACCGAACTTTTGGAACACTTTTGGTTTTCAGAGTATTTCGAATTTTGTAATCGCGGATACGGGATTGCGGACGTGCGTTATGCATCAGGCGAAATTTAATTTTCTCTAACCAATCGATGGAGGCTGGGTTTTTAATAAAACTTACTAACTGTTTCAAGGTTAGGCGATGCAAATCCGTGTCAATGCAATCACATGAATTTCGACATCGTCGGATTGATCTTAAAATAGCCCATAACTGACTATACATTACACGCTTATTATCTTCTGAACTTTAGTTTGTTTGCAACTAATAGGATTCCGCGATTGATGCTAGTTAATATCACAACGTGTTTCATATATCCGAAAGATGAACCAAGAGCGCCTGGAAGGCCTGACATCACGGATCAGGACAAAGATCATATTGACATTACCTGGGAACCGCCCGCTGATGACGGAGGCAGCAGCATCACCGGCTACACTATTGAGCGGAAAGACAAGGACAAAGACAAATGGACGAAACTTAATAAAGAACCCGTTAAGGTAGAACGATCTCGCGATATATACTAGTTGCTTCTTGCTGTTGCAGTAGGGGGGATGTTTACGTCTGGATTTGCTTTGTCGCTTGTTGTCATTGACGTTCGCATTATTAGATAGCAAATCACAAATCGCTAATTATGTAAAAATAAAAACAGCAAGGATAATGATGATGATGACAATCATAATAACACGATACCGCATTTGAGTATTTTCAAGTTAATAATAAATTTTATATATATAAAGCCTTGTGAACATTATATATATATATATATATATATATATATATATATATATATATAATTATAATATTATGTATACATGCATAAATTCTCTCACTGTTTACTCCCGTCTTCTGCAGAAGCTGGAATACACAGATGATACAGTCATTGATGGGCGCGAATACGAGTACCGTGTCTGTGCACTGAATGCGGCTGGAATTAGTCCTCCCAGCCTGGCCTCGAAGTCGGTGGTCGCAAAACCACCCTTCGGTACGTCTCGACCAATTAGTCTCGTATCAATAAATGTTATAGACTCTACACTCCTTGACCCTTTCACGTCAATTTAAATCACAATGAATCATAACTTAACAACTTCGAACGTATCTTGCCTAAAGTTATGCACATGATTGAAATAGAAACTCGTTTATCTATATCATGCTTATTATATATATATATATATATATACTAGTACAACTAGTATGACACCTTTATGACATAAAATGCCAATTTTTCCAACTGTGTTTAGACACGCCGGACAAGCCTGGTGTGCCGGAGATCATGGATTATGACGTCGACTTCGTTGAATTGTCATGGACGGCGCCATCCAATAATGGAGGCTCCCCTATCACCGACTACATTATAGAGGCCAAAACTAAGTTCACAACAATCTGGAGCAAAGTTGCCAAGGTACGTAGGCAAATTGTGCTAATGATATTACTTTGCTATGAGGTGATTACTCAATGTCCATGTTAACGGCAAGAAAATTGAATCAAAATAACGCTTACTTCTAGTTTATGCCCATTGCGTAAATAAATAAGTGAATAAAAAAATAAATATATGCTCAAAAGTAAAGCCCCTGTGAACCACAACGAGTAACTGTAACACCGTACTTATATTAGCAGCATTTCTGTCGCGCAGGTTTCAGGTACCACGATCCAGACGCGAGTCACAGATATAGAGGAGAAAGAGGAGTATGAGTTCCGCATCATCGCTGTCAACAAGGCTGGTCCCGGCGCACCCAGTCAGCCATCCAAGTCCGTCGTGGTCAAGGCAAGAAAACGTGAGTCTTTATTACTAATTGAAATCTTATTTGATAACTAACCGTATATTGTTTCTGTATTTATAAAACTCTGATGTTTATACTCTGTTGAAATGCTACGAAACGAAAATGAAGATGAATTGAATTGATGTAACCCTGTGTTTATTGACAGTGGCGCCAAGAATAGGTAAGGGCATTCTGGAAGACCTGAAGCTAAAGACTGGCCAGACGATTGAATACGACGTGCCAATCAGCGGCGAGCCATTCCCAGACGTTGCTTGGACGTTGAACGGAAAACCACTGAAGCCAAGTGATAGAACGACTATTAAGACATCGGATAAGGCAACCAGACTAGTGACTATCAACTCTCAGAGGTAGGAAGAATTAGCGGCATGCTAGGCATGAATCCCATTTGTGATTTATGTTTGTGATTAGAGCCGGAAAACGCCAGATAAATGTTTCTTGATTCGGGAACAGAGGTCAAGCGGGACGCGGGCAAGCCATGAATTACGATTTTGCAAGTCATATAGCAAAATAGGTAATTTGTGAACTGTGAAATCCCATATCTTCATAAAGGACTCTTTTCGTGCTTCCCCTGTCATATCCAAACGTGGTGCTATCGATAATACTTCCTGTTGTTGTGGTTCCGCAGGGAAGACAGCGGAGTCTACTCGCTCACCGTGAGCAATGCCTCGGGAACAGATACGGCCTCGGCTGACGTGACCGTCGTCGGCAAGCCGGCTGCTCCCCGTGGTCCACTCGAAGCGTCTGACGTCACGGCCGAGAGCATGACCATCAAGTGGAAGAAGCCGGAGGACGACGGTGGCTCCCCCATCACGCACTATACCGTCGAGATCATGGACTCGAGTACGTCACGTAATTCACGTTTAACGCGTCTAGCATACTGGTAACGTTTGCGAAAACATACACGCGTCATTTTAGTGCCAGTAACGCTGATTTCTCTCGCATACAAGCGCCTTGCATATGACAGTGCTGTCTTTGGTGTGTAGGTAAGGGTACCTGGCGCACCGTGGAGGAGACTGCGGAGTTGACGATCCTCGTGTCCAAGTTACAGGCGAAACACAGCTACAAGTTCCGCGTGAAGGCTCACAACAAGATCGGCGTGTCGGAGACTCTCGACATGAAAGATTTTGTTGTCGCCAATAATCCCTACGGTAAAATATTAACCCCTCCTATGTCTGCCGGCGGCTTAGAATTGATAAGCAATTCTTTGACAATGTGTACTGGTCAGTTGTGAATTGCAGTTGCCTGGTTGCACCCATGTCACGTCAGTAATTATAGAGATTTTGGCAAGACAAAGTAGTTCAGAAATAGACTTTATTTGAGATTTGGTAATTGGATAACTCCAATTAAAACCATATTCAAATTCTCGGCTATTGTCCTGTGCGTTTTTTCTAATCTGTGGTGGAGTTAAACAAGATAAAAGTAAGCATACCGCTTAAAAGAGCAGATGTACTGTTAAGAATGGTCGATCTTTATGAGAATCCTGCATGTCTACCTGTAGACGAGCCATCAGCTCCCGGAACGCCAGTCATTGATGACTGGGATGTCAACCATGTCGACATCAGCTGGACGAAACCGAAGAAGGACGGTGGCGCCCCCATCACGGGCTACATTATCGAAATCAAGGATAAGTGCGTGTCAAGTTTGTCTAAATATAGCTACCAGACGTCAACGATATAGTTTTATTCGTTTAATTACGATAAATTCACGTATGATTAAGACATTTTAACGACCTGAATTGAAGAATTTATTTAAATTAAACAGAATTTATTAACACAAATTCGCTTATGCATTGATTGACGTATTTTTACGTAATATTAATATAAGTATATTTCAGTAAATATACAGCAAATACAAGCATGTAGCATTCGGTTGACACAGGAGGATCTCTATAACGCGGTGTAAATAGTAAATGAAATTTTACGATGATGATCTAAAGTCACATCACTCATAAGTCAAGCCACTGATCATTGCGTAATTAGGTTTAGCGTGGACTGGACAAAAACGCTGGAGGTACCCGCCGACCAGCTGAAGGCCAGTGTTACTAATGTCAAGGAAGGACAGGAGTACACCTTCAGGGTGAAAGCCGTCAACAAGGCAGGCCCGGGGGAAGCCAGCGACGCATCAGCCATCGTTATATGCAAGGCGAGGTTTGGTGAGTACCCAGACGAAAATGTACCACTAAAGCGCCTGTAGCAACCGTAACGTTTCTGCCTATGACAACGACTTGACTCCTTATATCCTTTTTTCTGCGCATCCATGGTTCCTCCTTTCCTACTTTTGATCTTGCAATATCTCACTGTGATAGTCGTACTAGCAGTTCATGGTATTATGTCACATTGCTGACGTTTACTCTACACCGTATCGCAAACTAAACCATTTCTGTTCCTCGCCACAGCTATTGTCCATAATACATTTCTTACAAGCTGTGCTCTAGAGCTACTAATCTAGCCTTGTTTCATAATATATCACTTCACCACTCGCTAGTAATTGACCCAATGATCTCTAAGGCACTATTCGTTGCTTGCTTTTACTTTTAGTTGGACCGCGCATTGACAAGTCGGGCCTGCGCGACCAGAAGGTCCGGGCCGGCCAACCGTTCTCCATAAACATCAGGTTCACAGGAGAACCGAGCCCAAAATCTGAGTGGACCATCAACAAGAAATCACTTAGATCGTCCGACAGGTACAGGCAATCTTCCGACCTTTCTATCCGCTCGCTGATAACTGATTAACATGTCAGAAAGTTTAGTATGCTTGTTAATGTAAAAGCGATATTAAACTGTAGAAAGCACGCGCCATATCGGTAAATGTGAATGTATTTCTTATCTGTTAAAAACTCAAATGAGATTGGTTCGTAGATGGATTAATGAATGTAGATTAATTGCAGTGTCAAGCACCCGGTAAGTATCGTGTCTCGATAAATGTTACAGAACAAAGCTTGACAGTTCAGCTACGTCGGCGAAGGTAGAAATAAAGAAGACAGTAAAGGAAGATGCCGGGGCTTACACACTGACTGTGACAAATGATTCTGGCAGGGACTCGTGCACAATCACCATCACAGTTGTTGGTACGTGTATACAGCCGTCTACCGATCGTATTGTGAATGTGTAAATACACGCACGCGCACACGCACGCGCACACGCACACGCTCGCACATACGCACGCGCACTTGCACACACACACACACACACACACACACACACACACACACACACACACACACACACACGGGTAGCACACAGCAGGCACGGCCACGCACACAACACAGCAACACACAACCACACACGCACCGCTCGGAAGGGGAAGGGTGATGTATGTCGCAAGGTGGATCAGACATCGCGCCTGCTCGGCGACACAGGCGGGGGCAGAGGCACACACACACACACACGCGAACACACAACAACCCACCGACACACACACACACACACACCACACAATCTGCACACACACACACCTTCCGCGCAGAATCATGCGAGCTTACGTATGCTGCGCCGACAGCACACTTACGATCGACATTACGTCGCGTTACAGATAAGCCGTCACCGCCGCAGAAGCCGATCGAGGTCGCAAAGGTGACGGCCAAGAGCTGCATGCTGTCGTGGACGGAGCCGCAGGATGACGGCGGTACGGAGATTCTGCACTACATTGTCGAGAAGATGGACGTCAGTCGCAACACGTGGATAGAAGTCGGCATCAGTCACGCCATCACGATCAAGGTAGGCGACCCAGAGAGATTTACCTCGACCGATCAATATACATGCTGCTCGCGGCAATCTCACGTGGGCTGATACAATCTTCATGATTAGAGTTAGACTGACTACGTTGGTCTACGAAAATCAACGACGTTTAGAATCACCTTGCGGGCACGGCAACAGTGACCTTTAGAGCAATCTGCTTCGAAATAAAAAAAACCTAATGCTAAACTAGGATGGGGGTAAGTTAAATGATTTGGGTATTTAAATGAGTTAGATGGATTTAAATTATTACTTGCATCAGAGTTATGAAAGGTATATCATAATCATAGAGACAGCATAGATACTATTTCCTTATAAGGTAGCCACAGATGAATGCGATTGCGTCACTATGGGTAAAGAATTTTGCATGCGTCTCATAGATATTTGTTGTTCTCTAATACAGGTGGAGAACCTGACAGCTAACAAGGAGTACCACTTCAGAGTGAAGGCAGTGAATTCAGAGGGAGAATCCTCTCCTCTGCAGACCGAGAAGCCAACTCTTGCCAAAAACCCATACGGTACGAACAACAGCCATTTATAGCTGCAGCTGTAGGAATAACTTTCTAGTGATCATCATTACTGCTAATAACCAAGTTGAGCTGTTTCAGACAGGTCTATCCATTACTTTGTGTCACCGCAAACCTGGCTGATGCTAGTTTACACATTTTACCTCCGCTCTATACCTAGATGTACCAGACGCCCCTCAGGACGTTAAGGTCGTTGATTGGGACGAGAGCAGTGTCAATATTAAGTGGAGACAGCCGAAGGACGACAACGGAGCTGCCATCGAAAGCTACATCGTCGAGAAGAAAGATCGATACAGGTGTCTATACTCGCATATCCCTTTTATCCTAGTGATCGACTATCGATTAACATGTTATTGCCCGCAACTACTAACAGATTAACTCTTTCACACGTGCACGCATGCACGCACGCGCGCACACAAACATGTCCGCACGCACAAATATACGCATGTGTGCACGCACGCAAGCACGCAAGCACGCAACGACACAAACACATTACTAACGTTTACTACATTACGGCCGTCGTTTTTTCTTCTACAGTACAACTTGGTCCCGGGTAACCGATGTTGGAGCGGAGACCATGAAATTCACGGTGCGGTCACTGACGCTCGGCACCGAGTACGAATTCAGGGTGACCGCGGTCAACAAGGCAGGACCTGGTTCACCCAGTGAAGCAACAAAGGCGGTCACTATCAAGCCTACAAACGGTCCGTATTTTCTCAAAATTTACATCATTGTAGGGTGACGTGTATTGCACACAGGCCGATATGTTTCCAGTATTGTTCACTGATTTTGTAAAATTTCATAAAGTGGGGTATTTGCTAATATTTATAAGATTCTTGTTAATATTACCAAGCCTAAGCTCATTTTTCTTCTCCCCACTCACGCAGTTGCACCAAAGATTGAGTCAGGAAGTCTGCGTGACGTTATCGTTAGAGTTGGGCAGATCTTCACGCTACACGCAGCATTCACGGGAGAGCCTGCCCCCGGGGTTACATGGACAGCGAATGGCGACAAGGTACGAATCACGCTATCATATTTTATACACTTCACAATAACGGAAGGGATCTATGGATATGGCGCCTAATACACGCTACATTTTGGTTCGGGTTTATAAGAGGTATATCATCGCCTGGGGCCCGCTGTCAGAAAGAAAATTAGTCCTGACATTAGTCTTAGCATTAAGTTGTTCTCGTTGACCGTTGATAAAGTTCCGAGTTTCTTTTACGCAGTGTATGGAGGTCCGGTCTACGAGAAAAAGTCAATGTTAAGACTAATGTTAAGACCAAGTTTGTTTCTGACAACGGGTCCTTCGCCATTACGTCATCACTTCGATTCGTGCCATGAAATAACATTTTTGCGCTTCTTGCAACGCCATATATTCGTTAACCCGTTTACAGCATGTGTCGGTATTAACGACATCCTTTATTGCAGGTCGGCGAAACTGCCGACATGGAGATCCACACCACGGACAGCACGTCTGATTTAGAGAACAAGAAAGCCAAGCGTGCAGACACCGGCTCCTACACCGTCACCGTGAAGAACGCGGCCGGCAGCGTGTCGGCGTCTGCCACCGTCACCGTCACCGACAAACCGTCCCCACCAGAGGCGCCACTAGACGTGTCAGACGTCACCAGCGACAGCGTGACGCTGGCATGGAAGGCGCCGAAGGACGATGGCGGATCTCCTCTAGTGTGAGTATGCGTTATGACCCGGGGCAGGACCTAGGGTGACGTAGAAGTCGCAAAGGTCACAAAACGTGTGATGCAATAATAATAATAATAATTATTATTATAATAATAATACTAACAATAATAACGATTATAATATAAAAGGTATAAAGGAATATATCGTTTAAAATAAAGACATTACGCAAAACGATCATGTATATTACTCGAAATAATCCATTTGTATAAAGATGCATGACAAAATTCTATTACGAGCGCGATCTTGATTTCTCGCGATGTTTAAAACTCTTTCAAAAGTTTCGTTGTTATTCGACAAGAATTTTGAATTATTTGGCAAACACATTAATGTTTTACCTTATTAAATACACCGGACAACAGTTCACATAAATGTGGTTACATATTGAAAATACGGAGTGTGGATGTGTTCGCATCTACGCACTGTATACTGACTAACGTGAGATTTCGGCGCGCATGCAGGGCCTACACTGTGGAGAAGCGCGTCACTGGCAAGGACTGGTCAAACGTGAGCAGCTTCGTGCAGGGCACTACGTTCACCGTGCCCAAGCTAAAGCAGGGCACCGAGTACGAGTTCCGCGTGATGGCCGAGAACAAGGACGGACTGTCCAAGCCGCTAGTCTCACAGCCGGTTGTCGCCAAGAACCCATACGGTAGGCACCACATGTACATTTCAGTAATTAATTCATTTATTTATTTATTCGTGTTTACTATTTTCTATTTATTTATTTATTTATTATCATTGATTAATTAATTATTTTATTTAATTGATCTATTTATTTGATTAATTTATTGGTTTATTTATTTATCCTTACGAAAACATATCGCCAACTCCTAGAAGAATGTAAATCTTCCAATTCAAGAAATGCTAGCAGTGGCAGAGTATTATGTAATGTTATATTTACTTATAAATATAATTATATATATATATAATATATTTATTATATGTTTACTGAATAAATCTGTACCCACCAAACATTACGTGATTAGTGTTAACTAATACGGTTGTTACGACCGCGCGTCTTTACACAGATGAGCCCCTATCACCCGGAAAACCCGACATAGTAAGCCACGACGACCATCACGTCGAGATCACGTGGACAGCTCCGGACAACGATGGCGGCAGTCCGATTACTGGCTACGAGGTGGAGAGGAAGGAAGCGAGCAGCACTAAGTGGATCAAGGTCAACAAGACGCCGGTTAAGGTACGGGGATGAATCTAGAACAGAAATCTGCATGTGTAGGTGGTCCTGTAGTCTTGATCATGGTGGTAAATAACGGAGAACCTTGGTTGGTTTGTCTTGATGGTATATTATATATATATATATATATATAGATATATATTATAGATTTTGGCCATATATCTATAATGTCTATATTTTATGTGTATGTATGTATATTATATATATATATATATGCGTGCGTGCGTACGTGTGTGCGTATGTGTCCATATATCTAAAGAACTGTGTTTCCACCTACAGGATCTCAAGTACAACGACGAGAAAGTGACAATAGGGCTGGAGTATCAGTACCGCGTAGTAGCTGTCAATGCTGCAGGACTCAGTCCTCCCAGCCACCCATCCAAGTCCGTAGTTGCCAAGCCTCCATTTAGTGAGTGTTTTACTTAAGATACTATGCCATTGCGGTCTCTCTCTCTCTCCCTCTTTATTTTTCTCCCAATTTCCCTTTTTCACTGGGTCTTTTTCTCTTTCTGTGGCCGGATGAGTATATATATATATATATTACTACAATATCTACGTAAAGGTTATATCAAGTTTCCGATCATTAATTATTACATGAATGATGTATTTCTTTCAGCACCACCACACAAGCCTGGTCCTCCAAAGATTGAAGATTTCGATCAAGACTTTGTCGAGTTGAGCTGGACCGTTCCAGTTAACGACGGTGGCGCCCCGATCACCGACTACATCATCGAGAAGAAGGACAAAATCGTCATCCATTGGAGCAAGTCTGCCCGCGTATCAGCAGACGAGCTACGCGTACGTTTATATGCAAACCTGATACCGTATCCAAAAAAACTAACAAAATTCTAAAGGTTAATTCCTGCATTTAACCTATCAGTGTCATTCCAATTGTTGTGCAACCGTGCTGCTCTAGTTGTAACGCGTCTCACTCGCAGTTGGTGCGATATTATAGCCGTTACCAGAGGTATGCTATCTGTCGCAGGTGAAGCTTACTGATGTTCAGGAAGGCACGACGTACGAGTTCAGAGTGACTGCAGTTAACAAGGCCGGTCCCGGCGAGCCCAGTGACTCGTCCAAACCCATCCTCATTAAACCCAAGTTCTGTAAGTCTATGTTGGTACCCAAATCCGCAGCCACACACGTGCACACACACGCACACGCACACACACACACACACACACACACACACACACACACACACACACACCAAGAGCGACAGAACTATAAAACGCAAATTATCTAGTTATCACGAGGTCAAGCATAACATAAATCTGACGTACACACCTTGTAGTGTATTCGAGTATCAAATCGTAAATATCCAACGCATTTTTTAACCGGTGACGCTTTAAAGAAGCGAATGAACCCTGACATGACTTTGTTGCCAATTTCCTTTCATTTCTGGCTACCCGCAGCTGTGCCAAAGATCAACAAAATTGGCATGGAAGACAAGAAGATTAAGGTCGGACAGGCTATTGACTACGAGGTGCTTATCAGTGGCGAGCCCACGCCGGAGGTGACCTGGACTATCAATGGCAACAAGGTAGTCAAATCGCTGGCAACGCAGATCAAGAGCACGGACACTACGGCAAAGTTGCTGACACCGAAAGCAGAGAGGAGTGATGGTGGGCAGTACACGTTGACATTGAAGAACCAGGCAGGAACTGACTCTTGCACTGTGACCGTAACTGTCGTTGGTAAGCAACACGCACACGCACGAGCATTCAAGTGTCCGGTCTCCCGCACGTAATTGGAATGACTAGGCACTGAAACTAATCATTTGCGTATGTTTGTGAAGCCGTATATTTATCGTACATAAATTAGTGTTGAACACATAAACGAAATCTCATGAGAAAATAACTCCAATAAACTAAAACCGAGTGCTTACATAAGGCGATTGGAAAAGAACTCTAACGTGACTCTTGCATGTAACCACTGCCTTGCGCTACACTCTACAGATAAGCCAGCCCAGCCGAAGGGACCACTGGAAGTGTTTGACGTTGCCGAGGAGACGTGCACCATCAGGTGGCGCACCCCGAGCGACGACGGTGGCTCCCCCATTATGCACTACAGCATTGAAAAGATGGACGTGGCAAGAAACGTGTGGCAGCCGGTAGAGGACACGATGGAACTGAGCATCGGCGTGACGGGCCTGCAGGCCAAGCACGAATACCACTTCAGAGTGAAAGCAGTCAACAAGATCGGCGAGTCGGACGCGCTGCAGACACCCAAACCCGTCCTCGCGAAAAACCCGTTCGGTGAGTTAATTGTTATTGCCAATAATAATAATAATAATAATAATAATAATAATTTAAAAAAATATAAAAAATATTAAAAATAAAAAAATAAAAATAATGTCAGGACTTATTAATTAGGCGACCTAACGGAGTTTGACGCCATTTATTCCTAAGTTGCAGTATTGGGCAATACCAAACTATCTCCACTACACTAGAGCTATGAATCTGAATTTTTCGAAAGCGAATAGTATTTGCGGGAACGCGTATTACGGCAGCTCTTAAATCGCGCCCGATCTCTCTCTCGTCTAACAGATCCTCCCGGAGCTCCCGGCCAACCGCAGGTGCTTGACTGGGACACCGACCACGTCGACATTAGCTGGACGCCACCGCAGAGAGACGGCGGCGCTCCGATCACTGGCTACATCGTACGAAAGAAGGACAAGTACTCATTCGACTTCAGCAAGGTGTTCGAGGTGCCTGGAGATCAGCTGAAGGCCACCATGCCGAGCCTGTCCGAGAACAAAGAGTATCTGTTCCAGGTTGTGGCCGTCAACAAGGCGGGACCCGGCGAACCGAGCGAGCCCTCGAAGCCAGTCATCACTAAACCCAGATACAGTGAGTTGACGCGAAATTCGACACGGTCTTTGTTTATCAGTGTATTGAAAAAAGATTCAATAGAGAACACAGTTATTGTCGTTGTCATTGGGACATTTTCATTGCAAGAATTTATACGACGTAGTGAAAAAACAAAAATGTGACGATTACAGCACAGATTGGTTGTGGATATTTGAAATTGTAGGTAATATCTTATGATAGTCAGATGCCATATATCGCATCTTAATAATTTGTTTATTTTCACTTTTAGCTAATCAACTTATGTCTCTTTTCTGTGTTCTTCCGTAGTCGGATTACTTACCATTGTAAACATGAACTCTAACTGCTCTCAATAATTACGTTAGATTCCAATTGAGATCATCATCGTTATCGTATTTGATCTCATCTCACTCAATATTCAATCCCGTAGTTTCGCCGGCGATAGACAAGCTTGGACTGCGTGACATGCGCGTGAGGGTTGGCCAGCCCATCAACATCAACGTGCGCTTCAACGGCGAGCCGGCACCCGAGGCCACGTGGAGCATAAATGGCAAGACGGTGACGCTATCTGACCGCACATCTATCGACAACTCGGACCAGACAACGACGAAGCTGGAGACTCGCAAGAGCGTGAGAGCAGACAGCGGCAAATACGTGCTGACGATCAAGAACTCGTCCGGTAGCGACAGCGCCGGTCTCACCGTCACCGTCGTTGGTAAGATTGCAGCTTGATTACCGTGCGTGCCACTCATTTATATCCTACACAAACTCATTCGGAAATCCATCAACAAAGTCAATTAGCTGATTCGTGAGCCATTTTGTCCGCTGTTATATGAAGATAAATTTGTACACCACGATATACTAATAGCCGGAACTGTATTTGTTGTGTAATTTTAATAATTAAGAATGAGAAAGTGTGGGTATAGGTGATCACGTTTATTTAATCCTAATAACAACTGGCATTGTATTTGTATTTTTTATTTCAATAATATAGAGTTTGAGAAAAATAGGCGTATGCGTGATAATGTAATTGTAGTGTAAATTCAATCATTTCGATTTTGAGTAAAATTGCGGAGTATACGTTTGGGGTACCCTAACCCTAATGATTCTTCTTGTTCCCAGACATACCCTCGCCACCAGAAGGTCCGCTAAACGTGTCTAACGTCACCAACGAGAGCTGCGTTCTCACGTGGAAGAGGTCGCTAGATGACGGAGGAGCAGAGATCATACACTACAACGTGTCACGCATGGACACCAGACGCGCCACGTGGGTCGAGGTTGGTCACACGGCCGACCTGACGATGCCCGTGCCCAAGCTCGAGGCGAACAAACAGTACATGTTCAAAGTTCGAGCTGTCAACTCTGAGGGCGAGTCGGAGCCACTGGTCACCGAGAAGCCGACACTTGCCAAGAACCCGTACGGTATGACAGAGCAATGTAGTTCAGACTCGGCCATATTGGACCATTTTAATTATCTGAGAACCGGGAAATACCAGAAAATTTTTTGAATCGATAATAGACGTCGACCGGGGCGCGGGAAAGCTGCAATTCATATTAGGCAGGCACTGGGAAATGGCATATTTTTTATCTTAGAGACTATGAGTGAAACCCTTTTCATGCTTATAGCTGTATAATTCATATTATACGTTATTATAATTAGCATTGTAGCGCATCGCTCGCAATGCTCTGCTATTATATGTGTAGATCCGCCAAGCGCACCTGGTGCTCCTGTACCAGAAGACTGGGACTCCGACCACGTGGATCTCGCGTGGAAGCGACCAGAGTCAGACGGTGGCGCCCCCATCGAGCATTACATCATCGAGAAGAAGGAGAAGTTCAGCCCCAACTGGGCGGTAGCCGTGGAAACGTTCGAAGACAAGTTGTCAGTGACCGTGAGAAACCTGAGACAGGGAACAGACTACGAGTTCCGCGTGAAGGCCGTGAACAAGGCCGGCACTGGCGAACCTAGTCAACCGTCAAAGACCGTGACTGCCAAGCCGAGATTCAGTGAGTGTCGGCGGTTGACGTAATGAGTGAATGACTAGCTAGCATTTAGTACAATGAAGAACACACCCACGCACTCGCTCATTCGCTCACTCACTCATTTACTCGCGCACGTACGCGCATATATATGAAAATAAATTTAAATAAAAAGTACATTAAAATATTTAAACACATTGAAGCCTTAATAATTCTACTGTAATCATAAAATTCCTCTCTACGCAGTCGAACCAAAGATCAACAGCATGGGACTGAGAGACCTTAAGATAAAGGTCGGGCAGAAGTACTCGCTCGAGGCACCTTACGTCGGCGAGCCGACTCCTGACGTCAAGTGGACGATCAACGGCACGGTGGTGTCGACCGTCGGCCGTCACTCCGTCAGCACAACGTCGGAGTCGACAGTGTTCAACAACAATAACGCCGAGCGACGGGACAGCGGCATGCATACACTGACGATCAGCAACGAGAAGGGTCACGACACGGCCTCTTGCACCGTCTCCGTCACTGGTGAGTGCGTGCTGTCAGTTTATCGACTGTTAACGTGCGCTGTGGGCATAAAACGGTGGCTATAGAAACGTCGTTTAATTCTGAATGTCGTCACCTTGCTGTTACGCTGTGCTTGTGGTTGTGGTTGCGTTATGGTTGTGGTTGTAGTCGTGTTCGCGGTTGTGTTGTGGTTGTGGTAGTAGATGTGGTCGTAGTAGTTGTCGTTGTCGTGGTCGTGGTAATGGTTGTGGTCATTGTAGTTGTTGTGGTTGTGGTAATGACAGTAGTTGTGGTTGTGTTCGTGGTAGTAGTTGTGTGGTGGTTGTGATAGTGCTTATGTTGTGGTTGTGGTTACGGTAGGGATTTTGGTTGTGGTTGTTGCTGTGGTCGTAGTAGTGGTCGTGGTTGTGGCTATGGTTATCGGTATTGGTTGCTGTTGTGTTTGTGCATGGTTGTGTTATAGGGTTTCGGTTGTGGTTGTGGTTTTGGTTGTGGTTGTGGTTGTGGTTGTGGTTGTGGTTGTAGTAGTGGTTGTGGTAGTGGCTGTGGTTGTGGTTGTGGTTACGGTAGGAATTAGGTTGTAGTTGTTGCTGTGGTTGGGGTTGTGGTTGTGTTCGAGTTGGTTCTGGCTACCGGTTGATTCTGCAATAACGATTGACGGTTTCAATATAATTCGTAGTAACAATAGCATGTGGAGATATTATTGTCTTCCTGAGGACAATATCGCTTCTTCTAACAAGCTTGTGGTATTTTGTCTGTAGACGTTCCTGGTGCACCGACTGGCCCCATGAAGGTGTCGAATATAACCAAGGAGAGCTGCATCGTGAAGTGGGACGCTCCGGATGATGATGGCGGAGCAGAGATCGTGTACGTGTTCCTTTAAATTACTTGCAGGAAACAACTCATTTTACAACGTTGCAAAATTATTAAGTTAATAAACATTTACATTATTACATTCGTAATTAAACGTGATCAAGTTTTATTATTGATATGCGGTGCACAAAGCCTCAGCGATAGTACCCTGGAAAGTTATTCTATTCGTCACTCTGTGGGAGAGCATAAGTATCTTGCAAATACGCAGATGCCTACGCGCATAAATACACATTATACGTCGCATAAATGTAACCATGTAATACGCTGGCGAACATGGCATAGTTACAATGTATAACTAACAAATAAGTCACGTGTAACAGCCACTAATAAACCCGACTGATTCTTTCTCTAGCTCCTATACATTGGAGAAGAAATACGTCGACAAGGATCATTGGTCTGTCATCAACAACTTTGTGCAGGCGACCAACTTTACTGTGACGAAGCTTACCGAAGGAAAAGAATATCTGTTCCGCGTGTCTGCAGAGAATCAGAACGGACTCTCCAAACCCTTGACGCTGGACAAGGCCATTCTTGCCAAGAACCCTTACAGTGAGTCATCATACCCACCCGTAGATGTACAAATATATATATATGTGGTACTCACTATTTTTTAAAGGCAAAATAATACAAGTGCGTGCGAAAATTTGTTCATTATCTTTACACAACCGAGTAGTTTAACAATTTACAAAAGGAGCTCATTTGTCATCCAGCCATATACCCGTGAATATAAAATAATAAAAGGATTAGTCTAATGTAAACTTGTGAATATATATGTATATATTTATATATATGTATATATATATATATATATCACCTAAAAGCGGTTTGAAACATACGGCATTTAGCTGGAGTCAGGTGGCATAAAAGAAATATAATTGTATGTAATCATGTAAGGAATATAATACAAGGATTGTAGCTATGGAGTATTATAGTTTGAAAGACGTCGCCACAAATCAACGTCGGTTGTTTGCAGACGAGCCGAGGGCCCCTGGTCGCCCCGACGTCACCGAACAAGACAGAGACCACATCAGCATCAAATGGACGGTGCCAGAGAGCGACGGGGGAAGCCCGATCACTGGCTACGATGTGGAGAGGAAGGGAAGAGGCAGCAAGCTCTGGGCGAAGCTCAATGACAGCCTCGTTAGGGTGCGTCACTGTCTGTGCATGGCTGTATTCCCGGCCGCGCTACACGGCTCTATTTTTTCTATTTTTTTCTCTCTTTTGGACTTATTCCATGGATTTCAAAACAAAATTTTCTGTATAAGCCTATAAGATTAGTTTACGGCCATGCTCGGTGCACAGTTCTACAAGCGCCCTCTAGTGACACTTCCCCGTCGATTTCCGCTTTCAGGAATTGACATTCGCAGACGACACGGTGATTGACGGGCATGAGTATGAGTACCGCGTGTATGCAGTCAACGCGGCCGGACCGAGTCCTGCTAGCCATCCATCCAAGTCCGTTACAGCTAAACCACCGTACGGTAAGCGAGCACTGTCTCTATTTCACACGGAAAAAGTTGCCCACATACTTTGCTTGGAATCAACACTTTGCTTGACTCTCATTACTCAGACGGTACCGCCATGGTAGACATCCCCCTATAGTGAAAGCCCTCCCCCATACACAGCGCATGGGCTTGTGCGTGTCTAGCATTACCACGGTATATGCGATATATACGGATAACGGTTCACGCTACGAGTTATTATTTCATTTGTTAACAACGAAGAAGAACGGCAATAGTTTTTTTTGTCAAATAGGTGTTTAGTTTCAATAATTGCGGTCAGTTAACCGACGTGTTGACTATGTGCAGAACCGCCAGGTAGGCCTGGCAGGCCGACGGTTAACGACTTTGACGAAGATCGCGTGGATCTAAGCTGGACAGCTCCCGAGACCGACGGTGGCTCCCCCGTTACTGACTACGTCATCGAGAAGAAGGACAAGTTCTCCTCAAGGTTTGTTATCTGTCGCGCACGTTGAGCGGATTGTTTACACTGCTGCTGTAATTAATAAGAATCCTTGTCTTGGTAGTCAATAAGTGAGTTGGTAGTGAGAGATATTAATTTACTACTGTTCCCATCTAGATGGACAAAGTCGACTACGGTGCCTGCCTCGCAGCTGAAAGCAACGCTAACTGATGTAGAGGTAATGCAAGAGTACCAGTTCCAGATCATCGCGGCCAACAAGGCAGGGCCCGGTGAAGCCAGTCTCCCCTCGGAAACAGTTCTCATCAAGCCAAAGCATGGTAAGCATTGCCCGCTCACGCCATTATATTATTACACCATACTATTTAGGTATGTCCCAGTATTCATGGGTACCTGTACGGTAATGGTTGCAGCTGTACCGAATTAGTACCGTGACGATTTTTTATCACATTATATGTGTTTTTTTACGAAAAATTCACGCCGCGCGTGTAAACGCTCTGTGTTTACAGTCCAACCAAAGATCACCAAAGTTGCTATGGAGGATCTTAAGCTGAAGGTTGGTCAGACGATCGAGTATGACATCCCGTTCGCCGGCGAACCGCCGCCAGAGGCCGTCTGGTCGCTGGAAGGAAACACGTTCTATGCCGGCAACCGAGTCGTCATCAAGACAAAGGATGTCGGCAGCCATATCGTCATCAAAGACTGCCAACGTTCCGACGCTGGCGCCTACAAGTTGACGATCAAGAACGACAGCGGCACCGACTCTTGCACGGCGACAGTCACTGTCGTGTGTAAGTGCGATGTTTAGTTTGTGACTGTTATTGTCAAATTGTAACGGCGCGTACACTTAAGCTCACATTGGCAGTGCTCCATTCGTTACAGAGTTACCATTTTGGAATTGTTACATTGAGGTGAAGAGGAGAGAGTGCGAAAGAAAAAGAGAGAGATGTGAGTGGGAGATAGGTGGTATGAAATACAGACAGAGAGAAGGCGAGAGAGTGTGTATGTGAGCGCGCGCGCGTGTGTGTGTGTGTGTGTGTGTGTGTGTGTGTGTGTGTGTGTGTGTGTGTGCGTGCGTGTGTGTGTGTGCGTGCG